AACATTGTGCATCGAACAGACCTATTTTCAAACAGTATAAATCGAATATTCATGGGTCCTCAGGTCAGAAACTGTTTTTAAAGCTCTGAGAGAGTGCTTCATATCTTTCTTATTATTCAATGAAATTCAAAACTGAGACAATAATTGTAATCAGAAAGCTTAGCTTTATGAAAATATAACTATCTATATTAAAACCAGAAGAAAAAAGTTTTTTCGACCCTTGAGGGGGGCTCCAGGTGTTAACAATTGATTTTTCATGAAATACAAAATAAAATTGGAAAATAATCAGAATTCAATGATGATTTTCAAGCTAATAAAAGAAGGATCAAACTTTTTGGTATATCATATTGCAATTTGATATACGGACTACTTTCGAAGGATGGTTTTCTTTTTCTGTTGACTTTTTCATTCTGAAATAAATGTCATTCAGATTCTGTGAATAATTGAAGAAAAAATTCACCTCTACTATTGAAAATGAAAGTAGTTTTTCCGATTCATTTCCATACGACTAAAGTAAATCTCGCTATAGAAAAGGTGCTGAGGTGCTGGGGGTTCCAAACTTGCACTTTCCTCCTTACATTGAATCGAATTCAATTAGATTATCTTTCCACAAGTGGTAAGTAGATATTTTTTTATGGTATTATCCCAATCGTTAATTTATTCTTATCGATTGATATCTTGATACGCTTTCTATTTCAAGGACCTACTTATATCAGATCAAATCAAAGTTCTCTTCATTCTTATAAGCATCAAGAAAAACATGTACAACAAGAACATAAGAACACTATGAATGTGACGACTCGTTATCTTATCCGTGAGTATCATATTCCACTAATAGCAACAATTATCAGAGAGTTTTCTAAACACTTGGAAACAAGTCTACATCAACAATATATGATTCCATTATTTTATCTAAACATATATCAAACACGAAAAGAATTCAAGCTAATGAAATCGATTCAACATAGACTAAAGAAAGGAAACTATATTCTTCGCGAGACAGATAAAAATGGAATTTTTCATATTGGCAATTCAGTTGATTATGAAAAGAAACCAGAAGCTTACCGACAAAAACTGGCGCTTATATTGAATTAGATTCTAATCCGTTATGGAGTGAATTTGATAAAGTTATTCTTTTGCTCAATGATCATCGTTCAAAAAAATATATTCTGTCATGGCAACTAGATAAAATGATGCCGAAGCGAGAAAAAATTCAGTTAGCTTATTTATATTTCATTCATAAGCCTCACAAGGTAATTCATTTCTAATTTTTCTTACTTATCTCTCTTACACGCATTTTACTAGCCAGGAACACCATTGAGGCCTATTGTATCATCAATGAATATGCCAACGACAGGAATTTCAAAGTTTTTGGATAAATTAATACGACCGATATTTGATAAACATGCGCGTTCAACCACAATTATTGATGGAGTTGATTTGATTCACCGTTTAGAAGCATATACAACAAATGGGTATCTAAAACCAAAAACTTATTTATGCACGTTTGATATCACAGATTTATATACGATGTTACCACAAAAAGAATCACTTCATATTCTAATTGAATTTCTCCTTCAACATGGTTATCAAAAATTTCAAAATATTCCAATCGATATTATTCGAAAGTTAGCTCTTATCGTCATAAAGAAAATGTTTTCGCTTATGAGAAGAAATTCTATCGGCAAGTCATTGGGGGTGCGATGGGCTCAGCATTTACTTTAACACTAGCTAATATTTTCATGTGGAAATGGCAGAGACAACTTGCCCACAGATTGCAAGTATTGAATGAAACCTACGGCAGGTATTTAACATAGTTCATAAAAGAATATACTTTGACTATTGTGTCTCATTTTAGATATGTGGATGATACTTTCTTGATGTCGAACGACTCACTACAATCTATCGACCAAATGTTAGATGAAGCTAATGACTTGCATCCTAACATTAAACTAGTGCGAAAAATTGGTAGAGGTGTTCCATTTCTTGATGTAATCATTGAGAACAGAAAGGGCACTTTAACAACTTCAGTGTATCATAAAGAAGCAGCTGAACCGTATGGCGTACCATTTGGATCAGGTCACCTTGGTCATGTTTTCCGAAACACTGTTGACACTGCTATTACGAGAGCAGTTAGTTATTCAACAACCTTATCTCAATTCGAAGAAGAAATACGACAGATGAAACTCATGTTTCTCTATAACGGGTATGTTTCCTGTATTCATTCATGTTTTTCACTCTTTCTATGTGACTTATAGGTACTCGCCAAGACATATCCATCGGCGGCTCACTACATTATTCAGTAAATATTTATCCAACTATTTCATTTTGCCTATGTTCAATAACTCTGATGACTTCGATTATTTACGTCATCAGTTATTGACAGCATCAACAGCTACAATATACGATAAAGTAACCAGAACCTCAACTACCAATCAAACTCATGACAAAAACATACAAAATCATATTCAACAACCTACAAACAACAACGAATTAATAAGAAGAAAACGTCTCATCATTCATCGAAGACATGAAAAAGACTTGCGAATAATCATCGATATATTCATGAATTATGGGGCCAAACTTTCCATCAAACAGAGATCATGAATACTGTTCTGATCGTTGGAACTTATCTGAATCACAACTTAAAGCAAGAATTGATGGCCAAGATGATCAAACCTATTCCAAATGAGAGAAGCGACAAACAAGGCAAAACGCAACCTGAGACTGGTAAACAAACACATAACTCTCAAGCACAACTAAGTAGCCACTAAGTTAACTCATTCAGAATTTTATGTTGTTATATATAAATAAAGAAAACTTCACTCAATTGAAAAGAACATATTATATGCAACAGTAGGTCTGAAAAACAAACACACCTGCAATAAAGGCACATAAAATCATCGCCAAATTATCTTCTTCAATAACAGCATCTTCACGAATGTTCAAATGATTGTCCATCTACCACTATTATCATAAAATGATCTCATCCTTCACATTTATAAAAAAACCCATCAGATCATGCCATGATAGAAAGCTAAATTAACAGCTTCCGTATCTTATACAGCTACCTATGAGAAGCAAGCACTCGCAGGTCACCTTCGTCGAAGTCGAAGAGAGAAATATATCCTATAGTGAGATCAATCCTTTCTCACGAAACAGATTCTAAAAAATTTTCCGGGTCCTAATAAAAACAACAAGTCAACGACGTCAGTTCCTTACAATTCGCCATTAAGCCAGGAAACATCCTAGCAAGGAAGGTTAAAACAACAACATATAACTGATTACAAACTCAACGAAAAACTTCTCAGAGATAAATCAGTCGCTGAGACCATTTAGCTGAAACGAAACGAATCCTCAGTCCAAGGACGCAAAAAAAACGATAAAATACAAATGTTATTCTTTTGAATCGTCTAACCTAGATCAAACAATGTGGGTGTGGGTGGGTGTGTGTGTGAGTGTGGGTGAGAGTGTGGGTGTGGGGGTGTGTGTGTGTAGGATGGATAATTAGGAACAAAACAATATCCTGGNCCTTTAGTATTTAATAAATAAACAAACAAATAGATTACATGTATGAAGCAACTATTATTTTGGGCATAGAGTGTGGGTGTGTTGTGTTGAGATGCGCGTTGGGTATCCGTGCGATCTTTCTCACCAAAGAGAACCTCACTGACACCCACGTCCTTCCATTTACGGTCGAATCCTTGTTGAATATACTATCAAACATCGAATAAGTAAACTCAAAACATATTGACTCATACTTTTCATGTTGCTTTATTTCTTAGTGTGTAAATACAATATCATTTACACTAAGGAGTAATTCTTCTTCCTTGGGATCCAAACGAGTTATTTTTTTACGCTGATTAGATGATTCAAATATTAAAATAGATCAATGTGAAAAAGAGTCCCGACCTAAAGAGAAAATAGTTGGAACCTATAGAGAAAATTGGTATACAGGAGAAAATAGAAGATTGTCTTTGGTATGCTTTATTCAGTCTACAAACTTGCAAAGAAAATTTCCAGGGAGAAAGCTATAACGCAAAAAAATTGAGCGAGGGGAAATCGTCCCCCACCCGAACTCATCGTAAACTATGATTATTCAAAGTTATTTTCTCTCTCTTTCTGAATAGTAGCAGTTATAGTCTATACATGGAGAAAAATTGTCATTGAAAATATGAAAAATTCTGTCTAATGATCTATTCATTTATAACTTTTGAAATTAATCTACGTGTTCGTGAATTTATCCAAATATATAACAGTATATTTGTAAATCGGATGGATTCATTTAGTATGTTTGTTTGCTAGTTACATACACTTGTAGAATGTTAATCATGTTAACCTAATAAAGCAAGAAAGGAATAAGAAAAACAAAGATAAAGAACAAATAGCAGCAAGGCAAAAAAAAACTAATGCGCCAGAAAAAATAGAAATATATAGAACGGATGATTATTCAAATGTTGGATTATTTTGAGAAGACAATTCCAGTATATGAGAATTTTTTCATGTTAATATTTTTGATTAGCAACGTAAAACTAAAGTATACTACTAGATTCTATATTTCAGTACGCGACGAACGGCACTAGCACATTAGTTGTATGAAGGACACTATTGAAGGTTTTAATTTTTATAAGAATTCAACATTTATAAATCTGATTATTATCTTTTCTTGATTATTTCTACGGAAATTTTCGTATTAAAATTCTGATAATTAGTTCTTGCTAAATGATTTCTTCCTATATTTAAGCATTTTCTTTTGATGTTTGAACTTAAAGTAGCTTCTAACCTGTTCTGCGTAGTTTTTTCTGATCAATCCGTTAGGCGTAGATATCTTGCTTGTTCCTCGATAATAAATATGTTTTTCAGATACGGTAAGTATATTTACACCAGTTAAACTGGGGATTCTATTTTTGTATTATAACTAAATAGAAAATAACAAGTATTTTGATGACATATGATTCCGTACGTCGATTCCATTTAGATGTAGTTTCATCTTATGTGGTATTTTATTAATGAAGAATGCGGCTTTAACAGAGATGAAATAATATTTTAATTAACCTATCAGATTAAGTTCGATATGACAACAATAGAGAGATAATATCGCCATTGTGGTCAATTTTACTACATTATAAATCAGTACGAGTAGTATTCCTATCTTATATAGCGAACAGCTAGGAGTGTGAATTTATAGTTTATTTAAGTTAAATTTAACAAATTGTTTGGATGAATACTGATCATTGCTGTGAGGAAAATGGCTACTTCTCATTTGCGAACATAAAGACAATAGATTTAACTAAATTTAAATTAAAAATTTTCGTTTAATTTTAAAGTTTATTATTCCGATTTTTTTTTCAAAACGATTAAAATTTGAAGTTAATTTTAAAAGAAAAATTTCGTTTGGTTTAAGTTGATTAGTATTACATTATTCCAATTAAAGATTTCAAAACGTTATTTTGACTTAACTAAGTTTACTGCGATTTGTAGAGGACGTAAGTTTTTGACAATAGGAAACTTTTCAGTTCTAAAAAATTGGTGAAATTTGTAGAAGACGGATTTTTTCTGAAGAGAGAGTTCTTGTAAAGAAAATTAGTTCATTTCTTAATGACATGTTTTTTTAATATAGAGTTCATTGCTTTAAAAGATTCGATTGAATACGTAGAACATATAGCTTGTTAATGACGAGTATTTATTAGCAAGACATAGTTCAGTTGATTTCTAGAAATATGCGGATATGAAGATCAATAATAATCTAATTCTCTCATGAATAATGAATATATAGTATTACAAAGACGAGCAAGAGCAAAAAACGGGTCTTCGTAAAAACAAAAGCTGAGTCAAAGTTAAAATGAGTATTATATCGTTTATTTCTATCTTTCTTTTTCTTTTTGGATCAATTAATGATCATAATGCATATGGTGTAGAGTTCCATTTGGCTTAGATGCTAATTTTTCAAATTAAAGTAGAAATGCATATTGAGTCGTGTCTTTTTCAATTCTTACTCGTGAAATATTAGTGATAAAATACGAGCAAGGGCAAAAAATAGATAGAAATTTTTAAAAAGTTGCGCCAAAGGTAAGATCAGTATTATCTAGTTCTATTTCTATTGTTTCTTTCTTGACGAATTTTTAGTCATAATAAACGAGCAAAGATCGTCAAAATGAAAAACAAATACGGTTGAAATAAGAAAATATTCGAATGAAAGTGAAAATAGATCTTGACTGTACCTTATAGATTGTATGATGAACCTCAGAGAAATAAATCATGATATTGATAGGAGTCTTTTTCTCTACCGAATCTCATAAATTACATTTTAATTAACAAAAGACGAGCGCAATAATTAATTTAGCGCACTCTATATATTACAGCTTATTCAATACAAATGACGGAATTTAAAATTTAGCGAACTCTACAAATTGCAGATAGTTACTAGCAAAATTGAAGGTATCAATTTGATTAAAATTGTTCTCAATTAGTGTTTAATAAATAAAAAAAGAAAATTTAAAATCTTCGATTTAATTTTTCAAAAACGAAAACTTGAGGCTTGAAATGTTTTTCGAATTGAAGTTTCAAACTAAGAAAAAGATTTTAATTTAATTTAAAACGTTCTAATTTTCGATTTTATGTTCGCAAATGAGAAGATACGAGGAAAATACGTGACTTTAACAGTAGTAAATACCTAAATGAGAGAAGAACCTTGTATTTTAGGTTAATATTTGTTCATAGTAGTCAAACATTTTTCTCCAGCTTATACAAGATCCATCATCTTTCTTCTTCAAAATACCAGGATACTCATAAAAAATATATTTAATAGCACGATTCATAGAAGAATGACTAGCTTTAACTTTAGAAAACAAATAACATACTAAAATTTGACTTGAAATAATAGCAGTCAAGTTAAAAACTATGTTTATCCACTAGTTTTTAAAATTTATTTCTCGATTTAGTAATTTTTTTACATATAAAGGTGACACCCCTAAGGTTAAGTCCTTTGCTTTAGATTATGTAGCCAACATCTTTAATAGAATACAATGTACTCGTCTCGACGATATAGGATGAACCTATTTTGTTTTACTATACATTACGACATGTTAATTACAAAGTAGAAAACAATGGTTATGAGCAATAATCTCGAACGAGTGCTTCACAGTAATATATACATACAACCTGCACATTTTATTTTAGCCATAGCCACCAACATACTTAATATACGTATATTATCTTGTCGCGTACTTCTTTCATCGTCATGTACATATTATTTTCTTACCTATGCTATTATAAGTATTACTTATACGTGTTTATTATGCCCGATACAATTTGCTCGTGGTTTTTCTATTAATTGGATAAGTGGGCAAATAACTTGTAAAACGCATGCTTATATTTTGTTTGTACTACCACTTCAAGCTAATATTATGCTTATGTTAGCTTCGTTTCATCGCTATTGGACGAGTTCAAGAATCCATTGACTTCACTCGACAAGTGCTGTTCGAATAGCAAAAAGAAATATTACACTTGGCAGTGTATTTTCTATAGTCTATATGTCACCAATGTTGTTTATTTACTATTGGGACGATAGTTCCGGAAAATGTCTAACAAACTTTCATATTCTAATCAGTATTTATATACTTAGTCAAGTTATTATCTATTATATTTTATCATCTTCAATAATGATTCTATTCGGTATATTGACAATTCGAAATATTCGTCAGCGCTCATCAAGTGCGATATTCTTAGTTTCATTGACGCAACGACGCCGTATATAAAGTCAATTGACACGAATGTTAATCATTCAAATAGTTGTTCATCTTATTCTTGTACTTCCCTTCGGAATCATTTACAGTATTAATTCAACAATACCATCTACAAGAACATCAAATGTCATAGCAGTACGTTTAGTATTTGTAGCATTGCAACAATGTGATTATTTTGCGATATTCTTTTTATATACTCTCTCAGCGCGTGTCTATCGACAGCAATTAGTGCGAATTTTAATCTCTACTACATGTTTGAATGCAAGAGAGTGGCACCATCATTGCTAATGATTTTAAAATTGGATAAGAAACTTTATAATTATTCAATAAATATGATCGAATAATTTAATTAATAATTCATTTTCTGTTGTATTGATGCATATTTTAAAGCTAGCTGAGGATTAGTTGATTCAAGCATGATTAAAAAACGGCTTGTCTTGTTATGGCGATGCCATACGAAGACGTTTTTGTCCGACAAACTAATACTTGACATACATATTTTTCATTATAGTTCCGAAGATTAAAATTAACTAGATTTTGGTAAATTCTAACTTCTATATGAGATGATTTGGGAATAAAATCTGCTTCATATTTCTTCCCAGAAAGGTTCAATTAAAGAACAAAAATGTTTTTCCTGATTCTATAATTCTTTACCTCAATAGGAAGTGAAAAAATTATCGAAATACAATTAAAAATGTTGTGTTGATAGATTACAATATCAATAAAGTTATGCTTTATATATATAAAGGAGTATTATTTTAAAATAGAAAATATGTTTTAAAAACTATTTACAGAAAATGTTTGTTTAGCAAAAAAATATACATCGATAAACTACTCGTTGAATTAGAATAGCTACTCAATAAAAAGTCTTGTACGCACATCTTTTCTTTTATTAACTATGTAAATCAATTTGTTTCGCGCATAGTACTCTATACTTGAAAATATTGTAGCTATACGTCTTCCTTGTCTGTGTATGGTATTTATATTTGAATGAGAAAAATACTCTTACTCAACTAAGAAAAACAGAAAACAAGGAGAACAGGCACGTCACATCATTAAAATTCATTTCATCTCAAACAATTTTTAACAAATGAAAAAGTTTGTAGTATCTCTTCTCGTATTACTTTTTGTTCAAATTGCTGTGCATGGAAATCATTTTTATGGTGGTTCAATCAATTGGTCACCAATAAACAATATTAATAAAGTTGAAATAAATAGCACAGGCAAAGTCAATATTGAACAACAATATGCATGATCTAGAAATACTACAACCGCTGCATGTATGCAATCAACGATTTTATCATATGGTCTTATTGGTGACGATGTAAATAATACTCTGATATGTTTATCGAACGCAGCAGTATGTTCACGTACTAATTTTACAACCAATATATCAAGTTTAGTTCCGTGTACTGATTATAATACCATATTAGATATGTCATTTGGGCATAGTCAAACATCGATAGATGTGAACGTACTAGCGGAAGGCCTAGTAATTGGTTAAACATAATCAAGGGATGGTTGGATACCTTTGAAATTAGGCGGAGGTAATTTGAGCTTAGTTATGTATCTTAATTTACAAGCACATCCAGATAATGGTCTAGTTAATCATTCACCTACATCATCCATGCCATTAGTGACTTATGTGCATATTGCAAACAATACAACAGTGTCAATTGATATACCAATGAATGACAGTGATGGAGATATGATTCGATGTCGTTTTGCAAAATCAAATAATATATTAGGTGGAATTCTTGTAAATGAATGTCAAGATGCCTGCTCCACTATAGCACTTCCACCATCGGCACAATTTATATCAATAAATGATACATACAGATTGAATGTCAACCTAACATCTCCTGGTACCTATGCAATAGCAATTCAATTCGAAGATTTTCTTGAAAACTCTACTGATATACTTAGTTCAATACCATTTCAATTTATTTTAATAGTAGTTAATGAACTAAGTGGGACATCAAATGATTGTACTTACTTGCCGACAACTATCGATATCCAACCTGATTCTCCTTCGTGTGATTCTATTCTCACTGTTCAAATGAATATTCAATATACGTTTACAGTTATTGCTAAAATAGCTTGCTTAAATAATACAAAAGCATCTATTACAAATTTTATGACATCAAGTCCACAAGGCATGCTCAAAGGAGATAATATATATCCACTGACATCAACATCATATGCTATCAATCATACTTGGATACCAACTGGTGATCAATTGCATCAGACATTAATTTTTTGCACCATTGCAATTGATAGTCAATTCTATTCATCGAATCAATATTGTTTCTATTTATTTGTTGAAAATCAAACCAAACTAACATCAAATGAGTCAATAGCGTCCGATTCAAAATCAGTTGCGGTAGTGACACTGAACCAAGTAACACCACAATCTAGGTTTGGAGTAGCTCTCACTTCTGACACTACAACCACAACCACTGAAACAACAACAACCACTGTGACAACAACAACCACTGTGACAACAACAACCACTGAGACAACCACAACAACTGAAACAACAACAACCACTGAAACAACAACAACCACTGAGACAACAACGACTACGGAAACAACAACATCAACAACATCAACAACAACAACTTCAACTACCACTACAACATCAACATCAACATCAACATCAACAACTTCAACCACCACAACAGCAACATCAACAACAACAACTTCAACTACCACTACAACATCAACAACATCAACAACGACAACAACAACATTTACTACCACTTCAACTAAACCCCCCATATTAGTACACTGATAAAAAAATCCGGGTAATGATAAACTCTTAAAGGGTTTATGAAAATGCAACCTATGATATACCCTTTTTGACCGTTTATCAGGATGTGATAAACCCTTTTATCTACCCCTCAAAAGACTAAATAAAAGGGTTTATCAGGTTAATATACCGAGTGTGGAGAGGTTTATCAAACCGTTTATACGACTGAAGAACTCTAAAAGGGTATATCATAGGTTGCATTTTCATAAACCCTCATTAAGGGTAGATGAAATTTATAAACCCACTTACTTCGACACACATATTCGTTTATAAAACCATATATAAAGACGAAATACCTCCAGTAAAGCTACTAGAAAGCGTTTATTAGTTCAATCAACCAAAGAAAGGTTGATCCAAGGGTAGTTCAAAGGGTTGATTAGTTTCTTCAACTACCCAAAGGTTGATCCAAGGGTAGTTCAAAGGGTTCATTAATTTCTTCAACTACCCGAAGGTTGATCCAAGGGTAGTTCCAAGGGTTCATTAATTTCTTCAATTACCCAAAGGTTGATCCAAGGGTAGTTCAAAGGGTTGATTAGTTTCTTCTACTACCCAAAGGTTGATCGAAGGGTAGTTCAAAGGGTTGATTAGTTTCTTCTACTACCCAAAGGTTGATCGAAGGGTAGTGGAAGGAGTTGATCAGTTCCTTCAACTACCTAAAGATTGATCTAAGGGTAGTTCAAATGATGGTTAAATATACCTGCCCTATGATACGCAAAATGCGACGGCGATGAAATCAATGACGCTATTGATGCGAAACTAACAGAGAGCAAGATTTGGCGACAGATGATAAAGTCGGCAGCGCGTGTGACTCGGCATCAGTGATAACGGAAAACAAAACGAACACAAAACAATTCGATTCCTATTATCAAAATTCGACAAGAAACTCGGACGAAAACCTAACGTAAACAGAATGATTGCGACATTACTTGAACCTGCACGCTGTTCATATAAGACAGCTGATCATGAAAATTAATGTGAGTAGTAAAGAATCATCTTTGTCGGAAAAGATATAAATATTCAGAAGTGTACGAAACCAGTATACAGTCATACCGTTCAAAATATTTTTGAAAAATTGATAATCATACAATTACAGTATTGACTGAACAACAGGAAAAAAAGCGGACCGTATCACATTATACATCCCCTTAACTCGACAACAACGTAAACTTAAAAGGACAAGCACCATGTTGTGCATATTTTTAGACTACTGTTGACGATTGAATTAAATCCGTAACTGAACATAGGAAAAATGAATCTCCAAACTCCATACTAATCAAACTCAATCATATAACATAAAGCTACAGAAACTCGAAAACAAGATTTCTCGTAATATTGAAAATCATATAACGCTGAACAAAACTAAACTACATTGATCACTCAACATTACGATGATAAATAAACAAATAAAGCATAGAAGGTTCATCATAACTAAACCGAATCAAAAAGACAAGGATCTGCGAATATTTCGATTTAATATTTTTGAGACACTTACGATAACTTAATTACATGCGTACATAACCTCAAAAGATAAGTAAAATACGACCGAACTTGATCGATCTACATAAATCATAGGAGAACGTAAAAAAAGACAATAACAATCAATTGCTCTCAATAATTTTGGGCAGGTTGATCATTAAATTAAACCTCATCACAGACTAACGAATGGCACGACGAATACAAAAAGCGATTCGCGGCGTCGCACAACTTATGTAAACATAAAACATACTATCAAGAAACGATTTGTTCTCAAAATCTCCGATATATTTTTCGCAAATAAATTGTAAATTGGGTAGTTCACTATACAACGAAACAAATATTAAACGACTCAATTCATCCATTGCAATAACCAATACATAATACATGAGCTGTTCTCAATATCTCCATCAAGTAAATGTTCACTAAATGAAAGCAACGGCTGAGAAAATAAAATAAAAGTCAAACATGACTCACCTGATCGATGTAGATAACGCATCATCAAATTGAAAACAATCACAAAAGCAATTAATTTGTCGAAATCATTTTGGATAGTTGTCGATCACGGGACGGCACCACATACACATACTAAAGAGAAAAAAATATCAATACGAGAAAAATTCTCGCCGCTGCACAATTCATGCAAACACAAAAAAAAACATGCTAAAAAATGAAGCGTTCTCAATCTCTCTCAAACATTTCCAATAACTAAATCAGATACTCACCTGTAGAATTAACAAAATAGACATCGAACAACTCGATTGTTGGATCGCAATAACCAATGCGCGAAACATACATTGTTCTTAATATTGACATGAACTGAATGATCACTAAAAGCAAGAAATGACTATGGAATGAAAATAAAAGTGAAACATGCCTCACCTAATCAATCTAGATCACCTGTAGAAAAATGTGAACTAATCACAATAGCAATTAGTTCATCACAATCATTTTGGATAGTTTTTGATCAACGGACAGTAGTAAAAACTAAAGAAAAAAAGATTCGAGCGTTTACACAATTCACGCAAGAGCAAAATACATTATAAAAGAATGAACTGTTCTCAATTTCGTTGAAATATTTTCAATAACTAAATCAAATACTCACACATAGAATGGACAAAACAGACATCGAACAACTGGATTGCTCGATCGCAACAACCGATACAATGCACGCGACATAAACTGTTCTTAATATTGGCATGTAGCTAACGTTCAACAGAACCAAAAAATGACTAAGGGATGAGAATAAAGTTTACATATCACTCACCTAATCGATCTAGATCACGTGTAGAAACATCTGAAATAATTACAATAATAATATAATTCATCGGGATCATTTTGAATAGTTGTTGATCAACGGACTACAGCGCAGACTAAAGAAAAAAAAATCAATATGAAAAAAGTTCATGTCTGTGCATAATTCAAGCAAAAAAGAAAAATACATTCTAAAACATAAATCGTTCTCAATCTCTCTCAAATATTCTTAATAATAACTAAATCGGATACTTACAGCACAATAGCTAATGCACGAGACATGAATTGTTCTTCATATTAACATGGAGGCAGTGTTCACTAAATGAAGTAAATTACAAAGCAGTGACAATAAAACAAACCTATGACTCACCCGATCCATCCAGACAACTTATAGAAAAATATGAAACAATTGAAACAGCAAATAATTCATCAGAATCGTCTTGAACAGTTGTTGGCCAATGAACTACACCACGTGTTAAAGAAAGAAACAATGAATACGAAAAAAAGATTCGCAGCGTTGCATGATTCATGCAAAAATGAAAATACAATGTCAAGAATGGGATTCTTCGGCATAGTCTAAAATATTTTTTGTAACTAAATGGGATACTTACTCGTAGAATAAAAAAACAGATATCGAACAGCTCGATTGCTGGATCAGAATAAGTAATTGGAAACATATAAACACTGATGAGTATGCGCATGAACCTGATGTTCACTAAATGAAAGCAATGGCTGAGCATTTATTTAAAAAAAAGTAAAATAAGACACCTGATCGATCTACCCGACTTGTAGAAAAATGTAAAACAATTACAAGAGCAATAAAATGATCGGAATCGTCTTGGATAGTAGTTGGCCAATAAACTGCATCACACACTAAAACAAAGAAACGATGAATAGAAAAAAATTCAGGACATCACATTATTCATGCAAAAGCGAAACATAGTGCAAACAAACGAATTCTTCTCAAAATCTATTAAATGTTTTCAGCAATTAGATTGGATACTCACCCATACAATTAAAAAAGCATGGATTGACTCGATTGACAGATCACAGTAATTTTTTGAACACATACGAGCTTCGCTCGATATTTAGTTGTAGCTAACTTCACTAAATGAAAGAAATGACTGGCCATGAAAAATAAAAGAAAAATATGACTAACCTTGCCGATCTAAATCACTTATAGAAAAACGTAAACCAATACAAGTGTCATAACTGCATCAGAATTGTTTAGGAATGCTGTTTATAATTAAATTTCATCACATATTGAAGAAGGAAAGAAGGAAAACGAAATAAAAGGATCCAACATTCGCACCATTCATGCAACACTAAAACAAAGTGTAAAGAAACAAATTGCTCTAAGCAACTATGATATGTTTTTATGAACCAAATTGTATGCTGCAACACAAAATCGAAAAAACATATGCAATACTTGGATTGATAGATAGTAACGATTAATAAAAAAGTTTCGGATATTTCGTTCAGACTAATGTTCACTAAATGACACAAATGACTGAGCATTGATAATAAAAGTAAAGCATGACTAACCCTATCCATCTAGATCACTTACAAGAAAACGTCGCACAATTACCAAAGTAATAAATACATCGAAATAGTTCTGGATAGTTCTTGAGCAAGGAACGGCACCATAGACTAGAAAAAAAGGATCGATATAAAAAACGATTCGCGGCATTCCATAATTCATGTACAAAGCAAAACACAGTGCAAAGCAATCAATTGTTGGCAATCTCTACGAAATATTTTTACTCACTAAATCGAATGCTCACTCATAGAATCAAAAAGAATCCATATTAAACGATTCCATTAATACATAGCGATAATAAGTTCACGACACATAAACTGTTCTCGATATTTCCATGACGTTAATGTTCACTAAAACAAAGCAATCGCAAAGCATTGAAAATCAAAGTTAAACATAACTCACCTAATCGATCTAGATCGCGTGTAGAAACATGTGAAATAATCACAATAACAATTAATCAATCAGAATCATTTTGGATAGTTGCTGATCAACGGACCACAGTACAGATACAGACTAAAGAAAACTATCAATATGAAAAACAAATCATGCCTGTGCAGAATTCATGGAAAAAAGAAAAATACATTCTAAAAGAATGAATCGTTCTCAATCTCTCTGAAATCATTTCAATAACGAAATCGAATACTCACCCGTAGAATTAACAAAATCGAAATCGAGCAATTTGATTGTTGGATCGCAATAACCAATTCACGAGACATAAACTGTTCTCGATATTTCCATGACGGTAATGTTCACTAAAATAAAGAAATCGCAAAGCAATGAAAATAAAAGTTAAACATGACTCATCTAATCGATCTATATAACGCATAGAAAAATGTCAAACAAATATAAAAGCAAGAAATTCATCGTAATCGTTTTGGAAGCTGTTAACGACTAAACTCAATCGCGGATTTTAGAAAGAAACAAGGAATAGGATAAAAAGATTTGCGCCGTTGCACAATTCGTGTAAACGTAAAACACTTAGTGTAAATAAACGATTTCGTCTCAAAATCTGTGACACATTTTTAGCAAATAAATTGAGAAGTTCACTATACAATGGAAAAAAAGATTAAACGACTCAATCGATCCATTGTAGTAACCAACCTATGACACATAAACTGTTCCTAATATTTGCATAAAGTTAATGATCACTACATGAAAGCAACGGCTGAGAAAATAAAATAAAAGTCAAACATGACTTACCTGATCGATCTAGATAAAGCATCGCCAAATTGAAAACAACTGGAAAAACAATTAATTCATCGGAATCATTTTGGATAGTTGTCTATCAAGGACGCCACCACATAGTAACTAAAGAAAAAAACGATCGATAAGAAAAAAGATCCTAGCCATTGCACAATTCATGCACAAAGCAAAACAGAGTGGAAAGCAACCAATTGTTGCCAATGTGCATGAAATACTTTTACTCACTAAATCGGATACGCACTCATGCAATCAAACAAAATCCATATTAAACGATTCCATTGATAGATTGCGATAACAAATGCACGACATATATGAGCCATTCTCAATATTTCCATGGAGCTAATGTTCACTAACTGCAAGCAATGGTTGATACAATCAAATAAAAATAAAAATATGACTCACCCAAGCGATCTGGATAATGGATAGCGAAATTCAAAAACCAATTACAAACGCAATTAATTCATCGGTATCAGATTGGACAGTTGTTGATTAATGGACAGCAGCACAAACTAAAGAAAAAAAAACATTCCCTTCGTTGCATGATTCATGCAAGAGCAAAATACATTCTAAAGAAATCAATCGCCCGTAATCTCTCTGAAATATTTTTAATGACAAAATCGGATACTCACCCATTGAATCAACAAAATAGATATCGCACAACTCGTTTGCTGGATCGTAGTAATAGCCAATGCACGAGATATAAATTGTTCTTAATATTCACATCAAGCTATGGTTCATTAAAAGCAAGAAATGACTAAGCAATGAGAGTAAAAGTTAAACATAACTCACCTAATCGATCTAGATCACGTGTAGAAAAATGTGAAATAATCACAAGAACAATTAATTCATCAGAATCATTTTGGATAGTTGTTGATCAACGGACCACAGTACAAATACAGACTAAAGAAAAAAACAACCAATATGAAAACAAAATTCACGCCTGTGCATAATTCATGCAAACAAGAAAAATACGTTCTAAAAAACTGAATCGTTTTCAATCTCTCTGCAATATTTTCAATAACGAAATTGGATACTCACCTGTTGAATCAACAAAATAAATATCGAACAACTCGATTGCCCGATGGACATAATCAATACACGAGACATAAGCTGCTCTCAATGTTTACATGAAGTATGTGTTCACTAAAAGAAAGAAATGATAAAGCATTGATAATAAAACTAAACTATGACTCACCTGATCGATCCAGATAACTTATAGAAAAGCAATGAACAACTACAAAACCAATAAATTCATTGTAATCGTTTTCGAAAGTTGTTGACCAATAAACTCCGTCACAAATTTAAGAATGAAACGGTGAATGCGTAAGAAAGGATTGGCGGCGTCGCACAATTAATTGAAAAGGAAAACACAATGTAAAGAAACGAATTCTTCTCAATATCCATGAAATGTTTTTAGTAATTCAATTGAATACTAACCAATGCAATCAAAAATGTATATTGAAGAACTCGATTCATGGATCGCAATAACTACTGGACGTCATATGAACTGTTCTCCATATTTCCTTAGAAGTATTGTCCACTAAAAAAAACACATGAATCAACAATGAAAATATAAGTGAAATATGACTCACCTGATCGATCTTGATAATTTGTAGAAAATATGAACCAATTAAAAGAACTATAAGTACATCGGAATCGTTTTGGAATGATGTTCAGCATCAAACTGCATTGTGAAATTAAGAATGTTTTTAGCAGCTAAATTCCATAGTTTTGTGTAAAATCAAAAGACAAACATAAATAAATACGTATGGTAGCGCTTTCAAATCAATAGATGATGTGATTGCATATGGCAGTTTGAAGAAGCCTTATTAGAAATATATGGAACAAATGAACATTCTTTAGATGTTTACATCAAGCGTGCGGAATCAATTGTGTTCTTTAGATGAATGAACGAAAATAATACTCTATTAAGTTCACTTGGATATCTCCTTGTTAATAATGTTTTAAAATAAAATAAAAAATGTGTATCATAGAACAAGGAAAAAAAGAAAACGACGAAAAAGTCCGATGATTTCGTGAAACAAGTTCAGTTCGAGAAAGTGAGTACATGAAATGATTTTGTATAATGATTCGATTTTAGTCATCATGAACATTTTGATTAAGATCGTCGCTTTTTTTTTGTTTGTCGTGTATTAGCACGTGCATTAGTAACATCATCGAGAGGGACTTGATGTAGAGTCGAAAGTTGGTGATCATTTTTTCCAGAAGCGTTAAGAAACACGCCATTCTCCTCGTCTAGATTGGTGTTGATTTTTCTTTTTCGTTGTGTTTTTGTTGTATTTTGTAAATCAAGACTGACCAATGGTGTTTTTTCGATGTTATTATGGCATCTATATGGAACAGAACTTTTAATTTTTATGTAGTCAATAGTTTAAGAAGGTTAAACTCACTCATGTGTAGCAACAAGTATGTCAGAATTAGAATTAGTATTAGAAGATTTTTGCTCTATTGTTTGAATAGAAGTTGAAGAATCCTGTTCATTTATAGAATCATGTGATGAATTCATCGGAATTTGAGATTGTGTTTGAAATTCAACGACAGGTGCTGTTATATTATTGCATGGAGCGTTGGAAGAAGCTGATGATATGTGATGTTGTTCACACTGCATATCGATGCTCTTCTCTTTGATTAAGAAACGAATAGAATTAGAAAGGTGACGCTTATCACCATGTAATACGGAATAAAGAAATCGAATTGTTCGACTCTTTTTATCAAATGCTAATTCGAAAATTGTGTACATGGCAATAAGAAGCGCAATAGCATCATCTGGTGAACTTGTTGAGAGAATTGGATTGAAGTCAACATAGACATGAATCAGATCATCAATACACACCAATGTTGGGTATGGTGTCATCGGTTCCTAAAAAAATGGAAGTTTTTCGAATGTGTACAATTAAAAAGAAAAGACTAAGAAAATTCACAATATGTCATTTTCTAATAAACATGTTTGTAAGCTGCGTAATGTTTTTTTTTTTAAGGAATATATTGATTTCATAATTACAGCTGAATCATTTCGATACAAATTTGTAATACAACTAGTGTGAATAAATAAGAGGTATAAACTGAACAAAAGACTAATCAATGATGAAAATGGCAAGATTGTATAAAATGAATATCTATCATAACTAAAAATAAGTCAAAATTCTATTGGCATGCTTTTTCTCGTATGAATTAATCATTCATTGATTTACATCGGCTCAAAATAATCTCAGGTCTTTTGTATGGAAATCTTTAGCATAAGTATCAGTCGAAGATATTATAAAGAAAATAACATACCATATCACACAACGTATGTTGTAGAGTTTCATCAAATTGTCGACATAAAACTTTGATTAACCGAATAGGAGGTGAATCTAAAATTCAACGAAATTCATTTATATTTATATATTCATCTTTTAATCTACCTGTAATGAACATTGGAGTTTCGAGCATTTTGTCTAATAAGACAGGAATTTGTCGTCGTACAGCAGCACTCAAATCGATTTTCATCAACATTTTAACTTCTTCAAGGACCTGTTAAGAAAATAAATTTATTTCGTACAAATAAACAGTAAATGAAGAATTGACTTACCAACAATGAATTACCATAACCTGAAAAATCTTTTAGAGCATCTGCTGTTGATCGATCCCTGATAGATTGTCGACGAAAATAAAGTGTTTCTTTCCATAAACGTAATTGAGTATGAATATCAATCGTAGTTGTATCTCGTAGTTGATCTACTTTTAATTGAATATCATTTGATGCGTCATCATTGTACGGACTTATTATCATCTAGAAAAAAAAATGAAATGATGAGACAATATTACGTCGTAATTTACTTGTTTATATCGATCACGTTCAGCTGTTTCACCAATTTTTCGTTTAACTGGACGTCCAGATCCTGACCGTGAATATTTTAGCCGATATTCTTGAACAACACCGTTATTTGAATTTTCGAAGCGTTTACGTTTGAGTTTTGTTTGTAAAGCATCTTTCCATACAGTCTATGCGAAACGAAATAATTGGCGTTTGTGTCTTTCAAGTAAACTTACGATATTTTGTTTTGTTAAAGGTAATTTAATACATTTGACAATGGCAGTAGCAATATCATCAAATTGTTTGTGTGTTGGATAACTAATTACAAAAAAAAAATTCAATAGTGAATTCCAAAGTGAAACTCTACAGTTATTGGACAAGCTTTTAACAAATCAAATTCTTTTTCATGGAGATTTTCATTCGTTTGCTAGAAAACCTTGTTCCTCATACTTTTCAGGATATATACATATTATCAATCACACAAAGTAGATTTTGTATAACTTATTCGATGAAATGAAAGACGAAATCGTCCATATTTCTACAGTGAAAAAGGATCAGCATCCTGAATATAATTATATGTTGTAGATTTTTGATAAAGACTCGTGACACAAAATGTGAAGGATCGACTCCTGATACATTAAATTAAAAAAACAACATATAAATCTGTTCTCTCAATATATGCTTATTCAATTTGATTTAAATCATAACTTACAAGAGATTGTATTTGTCAAGAAGATCATAAACAATAGCATCAATCAGAATTTGTCGATTTGCACAATGTGGACCAAATTTTTCTAAAATTCCATCTTCAATATCTTTAATCAATGCCTTTGGTAATAGAGGAATTTTATAATCATCTGGAAAAGCTATATTAATATATGCACCAACGTCAGAATGATCAGATCTTGAATAATCCATAGATTCTTTTGATAAAGAATCAGTTGTTGGTACGGGAACAAAAGTAGATGGTTGAGAATTGATTGGAACCATAGATGTTGTTTGAGAATTTGTCAATATAGTAGATAACGAACCATCACATTGAACAGAATAATCATTAATTTTCGTGAATAATTTTTCACGTTCTTCCAAAAAGAGCAACTGTTGTTTAAATTTAGGTATTAACTGTGATATTCGCTCAACACTGTTCATCATCTTGAGAGTTTTCCCATCAATATCGTATTCTAAAAAAGAAATACAAATAATTATATTACAGTAAAAGGATAGTAAGGAAAATTTTTGCTCTATTCGAAAATGTCTATTTGACAAATCGAGAAAACTAGTGTTAGGCATCGGTACTATCTTTTCACCACTGCCTCCTTTTCTTTTCCTCCTATCAGTTTCTCTTGATTATTCATATTTATTATCTGCACATGATACATGTATGGATCGATTTTGTTTTGCTAGTTAGTTGTTATTCTTCTCTCTCATTTGAATAAAAACTCGAGTCAATAATAATTAGCTTAAGAAATCCAGACTAAACACTAGAATAAGCATCTTTTTTCTATCATGTGAATCAAAAAATAAAAAGCATACATTCAAATAGGAAAAATATCATAACTATTTCAAATATATAATGTTCCAAAACACAACGCCCCCTCCCCCTTTAAATCCTATAATCTTACAAGTGATGAATCTTGGTCAAATGTTTCATTATGCTCACGAGAAAAGCCTCTGATATGTTTCTTTATTCTACTAAGTTAACAAGTTAAAAATACGATCTCTAATCTAAGGGTGAAAATCGATATCATTCTCAGTATTTTTAATATCACATCTATCTGTACTATTGCTATCAATGTCTCACAATACGAATGCAATAGAAATAAAAATTGAGAAAGATTAATCGAATTATAAAAATGATATTTTCAGTAAATTTATGAGGTGCAAGTTTTGGAACGTTATATATTCAGTGTTTATTAATACGACGTGATGCGAGTGGTAAAAGAAACAAAACTCGAGTTGTTCACTTGATAAATATCTAATCCTTTATAATAATATTTTAATTGGCATGGATCAAGAATAGAATAACGATCAATTGACATGATTTCCCATGCGAATAATTCTTCATCATACGAAATAGTATCAAGTATATCCGCCAATAACCACCATTTCTCATCCATTTTGATAATAAAAATAATTTGTGCGAAAACTGGTTGTTCATTAAAAGGTTTCACGTTGATTATGTATACAGCTGATCGACAGTATTCGATGTTCTCATGAACCAATCTATTACATTGATTTAAATCTTCTTCAAGATCAATAGGACCAAAATGATCTAGTAACAATTTTTTCATGGACATATTAAAAAATGTACTTCGCGTTTTTTTAATTCCTACTACATAATCGAAAGTTTTTAATCGAGATAAATTGGCAAATTTAAAACATTGTTTAAGACAATGACGTGTTGCAAGCATCTTGGGAGTATTTTTAAAATTATTTGTTCTCATAGTGATTTTTTTAAAGTAAGCGTGGCACGCTTCGTATCTAAAACACCATTGCTTGCTTGGCGGACCATAATCATGTGTTATTCGTTCATATTCACGAGCAAAATGAAATTTTGGTACAATTTTATCCGGAAAATGTATTAACATCTTTTGATGAAGCGATTCACAAAGATCTCCAAGTACAGGTAGCCATTGTTTTCTGAACGGGTATGATAAAACTAGATCTAAGATTTCACGTAGAACTTTATAGACAATAAATGATGGTAAATGATGAATAATATCATGAAAGATTATTGGAAACAATTTGAAAATGCACAATTTCTGAGAAGCTGTGGCAACAATTCGATCGTTTTGAAGATGCTTTACTTGAATCGGTGGTGGTCGATTGTTGGTATCAAAGTAACCATATTTGAAAATTTCCATTCTTTCTTGAATACGAACTTGAAAGATGAGAAAAAAGAAGTAAAAACGTTAAAGTTCTTGAAAATCATTGATAAGAGAATATCAAACTACGTTTTACTGTGCTTTCTATACAAAAATTTACAACTACTATTAAGAAAGTGAATTGATTTCAATCAATTATAAGGGTGCGTGTTTAAATAACGTTCTCATTAGCTTTAGTCATTACAAATTGATCCTAAAAAATTTAGTAAGGTGTCATTGATCTCTGAAGATTCGATGATTACCACAAGAAAAGAAACTAAAATCAAATGAAAAACAAGGATAAATAAATTTTACAACAACTTTGTCATTACATCGCAAAGTTGAATAGTTAGCGAAACATTTACCATCCCTAATCTTGAAAACTCATTAAAATCGGAAACGAAAAGAGAGGATTCTCTAAAAAGTTACATCCAAACTTTTTCTATATGTTTTTCATTAAACTTTGTAAAAGTACGAAAGGTGCTTACAGAAAAATAATAAAATTGATTCGCATTCAACGCTGTATAACTCAGTCGATTATTATCGTGTTTCTCTATTTAGAAGTAACTTGATTTGGGAAAAATAGAAAAAATAAAGATCAAATTTATTTTATTTTGTTTTTGAAAGAATATATGGGCAATTGGAATGATAGGAATGCATATGATAAGCGCAAATAAGGAATTGTTTCTCACCGTATGTTATAAGACGTCGCGATGAGGCTTGTTTCAGTAGAGACATTACAACAATCGGGCATATTCCTTCAAGAAAGTCATGCATGCAGTCCCCTGGTAGTGAGACTATTGGATGAAAACCAATAAGATCATGCAATGGACTTTGATCTATCACACCCATCAAAGGAGATTCATTAGGATCATTGATGATTTCTTGAACTAAATCATCATGATCAAATATCGTTCGAATTTTAATTTGTGACAATGGAATAGGTGAGTTCTTCTCCGCATAGGTGACGTAACACCGTCGACAAAAATTTCCACTATTAAAACATGACCGGAAACCACCAACAAAATGAGAAGCGAGATTATCCGCAACTACAGTCGAAAATGAAAACTTATGATGAATACCATTGATTAGAAGCCCATGAAGTTGTAATTGGTTTAAATTATCGATAATCGGCTGAAAGAAGCGTTTCGCCTTGATTTTGTCCTCGAAAAATTGAAAATATAAGATATTGTAAATTTCTTATGGTATGATGTAGTTTTTAAACAAAATGTTTTAGGTAAGAAGAATGAAATTTATTGTTTTCAAGGAAAATAAATAAATAAGAGTTTTTTCTAAGAAATAATTGATTTTATTTTATCTAACAACTATTGAAAAACTTTTTAATGACAAAACTGTTATTTTTTATTCCAATTTATCCTCAGAGCTTTTACCTTTAGAATTTTACTTTCGCATACAGCCACTAACTGAATAAAATCAACTTTTGATCGAAGTTGATCCGGAATATCTTCAAGTGAAAAGTAAACCATCGACATTTTATGCTGATCACGTTTTGAACCGATAGGATTTGTCAATCCAATGTCATCTAAGTATAGTTGCAGCAATAGACTATCATGATCTAATCTACTACCATGATACCCATCTCGAATAGAGAACATCAAATCATCATCGTGTTTAGTTATTGTTTGTTGTTGTTGGATATTTTCAAGAATTTGAACAACAAGTGGTTGATAACTCAGCATTGATAACAATGTTTTTTCTATTGGAATAAAATATCCATGTTCTGAAACTTCGCCAAGAGATGATACAACAATTTCTTCAGGTGAACTATAGGCAAAATATTTTTCACAATGTTTGATAAATTGATATTCATTTTTAGTAACCGATTCGATCGCGTCGCGTATATCATCGAGTATCTGTTTTAATTGATCCAATTCAATAACTTTTTTCTTTTCTTTTCGAGAAGATGACGATGCGGAATAATCGCTTTCTGGAGAATAATCAATTCCTTTTTTTTCCAAAAACATTTCTATATTTTGTATTAATGTTATGATGTAACTAGAAATAATACTCGTAACATTTTTCGGTAGTAAAAATTCTTCACGTAACTTTAAGATAAATAAAACGTACGATCTTCTAATGTCCATCATTGATCCTAGTGGTTTCTCATCACTAGTAGTTGAACTAAATGATGAAACGGAATCATAATACTCTGTTTCATAATTATCTTGCAGTAAAATCGATTCTAGATTATCATTAGTAAAATCTAATGGATCGTTACTATCACCAATAGTTAAATCCGACCCATCAAGCAAATTCATACTTTCTTCTTGTTGACCAACAGCAGGAATTGTATCTAAGTTGTTCCGATTATTTTCTGTTGCATGTAATTCCAATAAATGTTGTCTATAAACATGAGATTTATATCCTGCATACGTTTTATATAAAACGCCACATGTACTATGTAAATTACAAGTAATTTTGAAATTCGATTCATTTCGATGATAAACTGTTACGTGTTGAAACATTTTCGCAAAACTGACGAAACTTCGATTCGTCAAACAAATTGGACAAATGAATGCTGACATGATATGTTGAGATAAAGTGCAAACGATCAAAAATGAAAAGTGTTATTAGACTTATCTATATATATTAGCTTAATAAAAATAGCTTCTGTTTAGCTATTTACTTAACGACTACTTTTCGAAGTAGATGAATATAAAATGAATAAGTACTATAAAAGAATGGATTACAAATACAGTAAACTATTCGGTTATTTACTTTAAAATAAACGCGCACTACTACTGTACTAGAAAAAAAGAGAAAGATTAACATAGAAGAAAGTGTAACCAAACATTTCAACCAGATTATATCAGACATGAATAACTAACGCGCATAACGAGATAGCGAATGCGAATGAATGTCTAGCAATATCTTCAACTAGCAAAAAAAGCATGCATTTCTCTAATACATAAAAACAGACAGACCTTCAAATCGCGATAAAATAGAATCATCATCGATGAATGATTTGCACCATACAATAACATCTTCGCACGACCAGTTCATTGTTTGATAATTTAGTTATCTGAAATTCTAAAGAAAAATTTTCTTCATAACTATCAATAAATTCTTTTTTTGGATCAAATAGTCTGGTTTTGACAGCTTGTGACATATAGAATCATTATAACAAATTGCTAATCCATTATTCTGCAAACAATATCACAGGGCAAGAAGAGCAATTAAAGAAAGCATTCCCAACAGATGAATGCATACGAATACATCCATAACGAATTCGGAATGCATTAGATAGTGGTCGCCGGTTACAACGTGTTCGTTTCGTTCGTTGCAGAGGTCGCTTTGAAAAGTATTAAGAGAATGGTGACTTATAAGAAATCAAATAATATTGAACATTTTCAATATTTAGCGCAAAAAAATGAATATAGATTTTTTATTGAATATTCATGAATTAAAAACATTTTTGTAATATTGTTTAAGGTAAAAGCTTATTTATTGTTTCTGATGTTTCAGTTGATATTTTTGTTTATAAGATGGATAAGCCTAATGGGACTTTTCGATCAGAAAATGATCTTTTCTCTACATCAGTTGAAAAAAAACGAAATTCAAAATATACGTAGAGAACAAATATTAAAGAGATCTGATATTTCAACTCAGAAATCTTTTTCTTTCGATTGATATGAGCTATTTTTGTGTTTTGCTAAATTAATATATGATATTATTGTGTTTTTTCTTCAAATAGCAAACATACACAGTGTTGATATTTTACTTAATACTGTACTTGGACGTCAAATTGATGATGAAGAAGAGCATGAACAGGTTTCTAAGACATCAGATAATCAATTCGAACGATTTGTTCATCCATACGATAATGAAAATTGCTTGATTATGTTGAACTATTATTATGCACATGGTTATCATGCTTTCATTCAAAATTCTTCAAAATTCTGCCTTATAGTTTCGAATGGTTTCAATATTAGATAATACTGATGACAGTGATGATGTTCAATCAATGAATTTTAGTTTATCTGAAGAACATCCAAATCAATTTGTCTCTTACTTAAATCATATTCTGGTTGATGATACGAATGCTCATGACGAACATTTTTTCTGAATTAATAAAGTAACATAAATTATTAATTAACAGACGTTAATGCTGACCAAGAATCAATAGCTACTGCAGATAGAATCACAAAAATATTGAATCAATTATATTATAGTAACTCTTCTTGTGTGATGTTTTTAACTTGCGAAAATGATTATGTAACCATTCGTTCATCATTTGTTCTATAATGAACTGAATTTTCTTTTTTTTTCTCAATCATGTGCCTTTGAAACTGATAAATGTGGATTAATTTAAGAACAACTGTAAAAACAATCTTGATGCTTATGTTACATTTAGATATTCATGCTTTCTTCTTTTTTTATTTAACTATCTATAATTGCTCTTGTATGTGATAATTGTAGCTTTTCTCAGTCGATCTCGTATTCGTTTTTTGTACGGATATTCTTCTATTGTTTCGTGTGGAAATAAACAAAAAGGATTAAAAGTAGAAAAATATCTTTAAATTCACTGAAGATAAGTATTGATTCAATCTATAAACTAATTGGAACGAGCACATTCGAAACATGCTCGTATACGTACTGCTCGTCTCGTTCCAAACACATATTTTGAACGTGTTCTTTTTCTGTTCTCCTTGATTTGGGACCAGATAAAAAAAAGAAGCGCTTCACATACTTCATGTTACCATTTTATTTAGCGAAGCTCTAACGCATGCCAATAGCCAGTGTTACACTTACCATTGCCTGATGTACTTACAAATAGTTGTCAATAACTTTTGTAAGGACAATCGAAACATAATCAACATTAAATTAAGAACAATACATCATTTTTAAGGAACAGATAACATAGTCTATTCCTTATCGTAGAATAATAAACCCTTCGAACGAAGGGGTGGAAGAATCAACCTCTATACGTAGAATAATAAACCCTTCGAACGAAGGGGTGGAAGAATCAACCTCTATACGTAGAATAATAAACCCTTCGAACGAAGGGGTGGAACAATCAACCTCTATACGTAGAATAATAAACCATTTTTGACGAAGAGGTAGAGTAATCAACGGTTTACGTAGAGTAATAAACTTTCAAATCGAAAGAGAGCTAGGATCAACTTCTATACGTAGAAGAATAAACTCTTCGGCCAGAGAGGTTGATGAGTCAACCCATATGCGTAGAGTAATAAACCTTTCCAATCAAAAAGTAGAACAATCAATCGCTGTACGTAGAATAATAAATGCTTTCAGCGAAAGAGCGGAAAGATCAACCCATGTACGGTGAACAATGAACTTCTTTCAACAAAAAAGAAGTAGAATCTACCCTCAACCGACGATGGAACTATCCCTGGAGATGCTAAGGTAGATAAGTCGATGTCTATCGGTAGAATAAAAAACCCTTGTCCATGAAGGGGTATATAATAAAGCATTTACGTACAATACTAAACCCTTTCTGTTAAGACGTAGATGAATCAACTGTTGAACGTGGAATACTAAACCCTTCGCAGGACATGGTAACAGAATCTACCTTTAGGCGTAGAATACTGAACCGTTTCTGAGAAGGGTAGCATACTATACCCAGAAAGGCAGAGTGATATACCCTCTTAACGAAAAAGTAGAATACTAAACCCGAAAACGAGTAATAAAATACCCCTATCTTGAAAGCGAATAACAATCTACCATCATCCGTTGATGGAAATACTCTTACCGTAAAATCGTAGAATAATGAACCCTTATGTACCATTCATATACCCTTTGAGTTTTCATAAACCCATAGCTTCATAAACCCTTCGACTAATAAACGCTAAAAGGGTTCATCACATCGGAATAAACCCTTCAAGGGTTTATTGAAGAAGTTTTTAAGTGCAGGGGTAGATCATTACCCGGATTTTTTTATCAGTGTAGACCCCCCCTATATTAGAAGACCCCTCTTAAGAAATTATGTGAAATTCACAATAGAAGACTCTGGTCTTGTGAAAGGAAATTTTTTACACTTTTTTTACTTTTTTTCGTTGATTTATTTATTGAATTGAATTTATTGGAGAATACAAGTCACAGCAGGATAGAAGAGAAAGTAATAGCTTATCTATGCAGAATGGAAATACATTTTCGTCGGAAAGAGGAAAACAAATTTCCGCTAGAATGAAATCAAGAGGAAAATGAAATCTATAAATGGTGCAAGAAGGAGAGAACGAATAATATTAAAATTAGTGAATATATAAAATATGGAAGAAGAACATCTTGTACGATTTTATGCCGACGAAGATTCAAATTTTGATGATGATAACAGTTCTGATGATAATTCAAGTGTTGAAGTTACTTCAAGCATTGATGAATGTGAAAATGAATTAGTACGTTTATCAACATATCTTCAATTAGAATCCGATTGTGAAAATGATGATGATCAAGCTTTTGAATGGCCTGAGCCACCTCCATCCTTAATTTCTCCAGACTCATCTGATATCGAAGAATTATGTGATTCACAACAAGTGATATTGTCCGCAACGTCACTTCATAACGATAATATTCGAGAAAAATGTACGAAACGTAAACGACGCCAATGGACAATAAAAGAAAAACTTATTGCTGTTGCACTGTTCGATAAAAATCAAAGTAAACGTAAAACTGCGAAGAGCGAAGGATGTACATCCTCTCAATTACGCAAATGGATTGAAAACAAGGAAAACTTATTAATGATGTTGAAAAAGAAAAAAGGTCCGTTTCTATTTTCTTTTAATTGATCATAAAAATATCTACTCGTTCATATTTTAGGTGGTAAAAGAAAACGATTAGATGGTGGTGGTAAAAAACTTGTTTACGTTGATCTTGATGATCAACTTTTTACTTGGTACCGGTCACGACGAACCGATCCCACACATAAATCTATTGCTCCAGCTGATATTCGAAGAGAAAAAGTTACTTTTCGCCATTTGGAAAAAGAAGGTCGTCGAATTTCTAAAGAATTGAATCATTCACTACCATCATCAAGTTGGTATTTCCGGTTTATGAAACGTAATGGTTTATCATTACAACGGCCGAAGAGACAAGATAAAGTACCACTTGATGAAGTTCATCGTTTAGCTAATTCTTTTTATACGTTCAATCGTCGTGCTAGTTTATGGTCAATTAAACGTGGTCCTATGGGTGCATTTACTGATGGAGATATTTGTAACATGGATGAATCTCCATTAGCACTTTTTGGTGATCAAGTTAAAAGATCTGTTAATGATATTGGAACAAGTAATGAAATAAATGGGTGTATTAGCAACAAGGTAATTTATCATATTATATCTGATTTATTAGATCTTTTATTATAAATGAAATATTTAATCATTTTTTTTCAATTATTGTAGAGATTTTGTACAGTTATACTGACTGTTTTTCATAAAAATCAACGAATGGAGCCAGTTGTACTTTTTAAAGGTAAAGGTAATGTTGGTGTTGCTGAACGTCAACAATATTCAAAGGGTATTCATGTTATATTTACACCGAAAGCTGTAATTAATGGACCATCGATGGATTTATATTGTACAAAGTGGTTGGAAAAGGTACAAAAATCTAATATGAGTACAGAAGGAGAATATCTGTATATTATTATTTGTCTTATAGGTACATGATGGTCATCCAAAGTTATTTATAGCAGATTCGGCTAATTCTCACCTAAAGCCCGAAATAATTCAAAAGTTACGGAAAAAGAATGTTGTTGTATCTATTATTCCGAAAGGATGCACGCAATATCTACAACTTCTTGATACATCAGTTTTTTCTGTCTTCAAAAATCATTATCAAGCTGCTGCTGATGAATATATTGATCTCTATAGTTCACGTAGTAAAATTAAATTAGCAGCTAAACAACAACGCATTTTATGTACTCGTTTAATTTCAACAGCATGGGTTCGTACTCAGAATAGTATCGATTTTGAACGTGCTTTCTTTGATATTGGTTATACATGGATTGATGAATCTCCTGTTTCTATTCGAACTCTACAGGGATTTCTTTTTGATCCATCAACAGTAACTTCTTCAATAACTGATGTTGATGATCGTGAAGAACAAGAAGAATGTCGTGAAAAGAAAAAGATGGTCGAAGAAAATAAAAAGCACTCACATTTATCAAGCATGAAGAACAACAGTAAATTGAAACAACTCAGTTTAGATCAGTTTATTAAAAATTAAAATTTCATTATAGTTCATTTTTTTTCATTTTGTTTTGTATTTTTACTTTGTATTTTAAACATAATCATGGTGAACTAACTAAATTATATATTAATAAAGTTTAATGACGATATCTGATCCTTTATGGACAGGTATTCCTATTAAAAGTAGATTCATAATAGAAGACCCCTCTAAAAAATATGTACGCTAAAGCATAATAGAAGACCAGGGGTCTTTTATTGTGGGGGGGGGGGAGGCTTTNCCCCCCCCCCCCCCCCCCCCCCCCCCCCCCCCCCCCCCCCCCCCCCCCCCCCCCCCCCCCCCCCCCCCCCCCCACATCCACTACGACCACTTCCGTCACCATTGGTATCTTTATTCTAGTAGGAAAATTAATTGTTTTTGTTTTAATACTTTAGGTACGACAACGTCGGATTACATTCCTTTAATTCTTGGACTTAGTCTTGGCTTAGGTTTACCGTTATTAATTATTATTGGTGTTTTAATATCGTGTTGTTTATGCAGGTGTTGCCTTGTTCCTCTTCAGGCAATAGTACGCTCTCGATATGGTAATCGTATTGGAGAAACGAGTAATGCAAAAAATAACTCTGTCGATCGAGAAAAAACAAAAAGATCTAGAAATGATGATTTGGAAATGAAAAATCAATTAGAATTAAAAAATATTAACGACACCAGTAGGGATGCTGCTCATGCATTATCAGTTTGGGATGAAAATCCCGAGCCGTTGTCATTAGATAATTCAAAGAATGACGATCAAGATGCATCATTTGATCTTGGCCCGATGGCAACCACGATTATCTCATTTGTATCACCTTCTACCAATAGTCTTACGACAGAAGGTGCAGTAGAAAGAGTTGCACTCCCATTGTTCCCACCGACACTAACTCAACAGCATAAATCGGTTCTTTTAAAAGCATATTTTAAGCAGCGTCAACAATCTGAAGGATAATAAAGATTATTTTCTTTGAAATTTCACTCATTTTATTCCTAAATATGATATGTTTCAATCCTATTCGTTTGTTTTATGTGAAAAACTGAATGCGTATAAACTATATCAAAGCTTAGTTTACAATTTTCTGTACTGTTTACTATCTCTAAATATCAAGTTTAGAAATATTGCAAAGAACGCATAGTTAATTATTTATAAAACAAATACTTAGATTATGAAAGATAAGAAGTCATTCGTCACTTCTTTATCAGTACGTGCCTCAAAGCATTGAGTCATTCGAAGGAAAAACTTCTAATCATTAATATTATTTGTATTGTTGTTTTTTTCATGCATTCAAATTGTGATTCACGTTTAATGGAACTGTTTAATCCTTTTCGTTGTATTTCATTTTAGATTAATTCTATAAATTAGCCATTGAAGAATTTCCTATCGAAATTTAGAAATTTTTGCTTCAGGCGGCGTCGAATTATTTTTTTCAATTGATTATTCAGTTTCATTTGAAAAGTATATATATATATATATATATATGAAAAGCCATTTTTTTCAATCTTTTATTTTTCCATGACAGTCAATATTCAACAAAACCCACAAAAATAACTGATCGTTCAATAATGCACAGTTCTGTTCATAATTCACTGAAACAGTTATTTCTTCCTGCCCCATATACACTCTGATATTGATGAATTACAAAACAATTAATTGAATTTCTGTGCATAAAAATGTATAGATATTTTGTTAAATAATAAGTAAAAACACGAGTAGCACTACTATATTTAACACTCATGTATTATATCAACAGCATATATTTTATGATAATTTGAATAAAGTACATAATAATTACATAGTATATAAAAAACAGATTAGCCTAAAGGACGTTTAACGGCTCTAATCAAGCGAATCAGCGGGTCTCATTTTATACATATTTTCACTGGGTGCAATCCTTGATCATAAAGCTTACCTCTCTATTTCTCATGTATTACTTTTTTTTACTTTTTCTAAATGTAAACATCAACAAAAGAAAATATAACAAGCAAGCAAAGAACACATAAAAAAATATTTCTGATTATATCCGTTCTTTATCCTATACTTTCACATTCTCGTAATCTTTCTATCTCTTACAGACAAAAAGAGAGATGAATCGAAGAGATAAAAACTGACAGGAAAATAAATGAAATACGCAAAAACAAAACAAACAGTTTGTTTTCAAAACAGAAAAAATACTTAGGTTAACAAATCATGGTCATCGATAATGTGAAGAGCTCAGATGATTGTAGTTAGTTTTAGAATATATTATCTAGGTATGCGGTTCCGATAGTTAAGGTAAGTAGCATTAGTTTTATCTTTTAATCTTTCTCTCTTGTGTATTCTATATCTCGATAAAGTAAAATCATTAACAGTATCAGAAAACAAGCATGTCTCATTTAAATAATTTTATTTTTAACCATCAAATCCAAAATTTCCACAGGCATATAAACGTGTGTTGAATTGATGATAGTTACTTTCTCATCTATCGATTCTATTTTGTTAATCTGTCTCTATAGAACTATTTGGAAAAATAATAAAAATACAGGAATATTTGTCAAAAAATATGATTAGTTAACGAGTCGAACTAGCAGCATTCATAAAGGAAGCAATAGAAAATATAAGTGAACTCAAAAACATGTAATATTTCTCATGAAAATAACTCAAAGCAAATATTGAAATAACTGTCGTTAATTAATTGATCTTATTTTCATCTATAAAATATGTAATGAAGCATGATTTCGCGCAAAATGTTTCGCATATGTAAAACTGCTACAATCAAAATAAGCACGTTGAGATACATCATCATTATTAGCCTTGACTTGCCCGACAGGTGAAACAGATAATGTAAAATCAAGTCATTCAGCCTTGTTGGGATAAATCTATATCCTATTGAAACTGCGACTTCAAAATATTTTGTCGTATATTTCTTGGATTGATATTACAACTAGAGGTGTCAACTGAAGGGTTGAACGGCGGCGGGCAACAATCTTCAATTTTTGAAGATTTCCAGCGGCTCGTTATTTGAATGAGCAATGTCTTCAGCAGCGGCTGCTACAAATCCTTAAAAATTTTTCCACAGCGGCGGCGCCGGCTGATATTTACAAGTCCGTATGCGACGGCGGCGACTAAGTTAAAAATTCACCGATAACAATTAAAAACAAATGTTCGATTCGATCGCATATGTATGGATGTCAGCGGCGGCGGATGACGTTATCAAAATTTTTTATCTCTTGCAGTGGTGCACCGGCGGCTCTTCACGGGTGTGGGTATTTGACTATTTGCTACTACACCCACACCCCACAACAGCTTTTCAAATGAGATTTGACACTCTGGATAGCAGATTTCTCAAGAAGGAAAACAACGCAAACGAACTATTGTCAGGTTTATCATTGCCAATTGGAAAAAAAATGAATGGATCTATATTGTCAATTTTCTTTAGTATTTTTCATTTTAAATTAACAAAGCATAATATTTCTCATTCATCAAAAAGACAACGCTAATCATTTCGACGTTTTCCTTCTCTACATTTTGCATCAACCCCGCCTTTTCTAATGGTCTATCATAATTTCATTTGTTTTTCTTGTTTTTCATCCTTGCTGTCATACGTGACCATATAGGTATAGGTATAGACTCTGGTATTCGTTAATCTGTGAACTAGGAGTGTCACATTTTAATGTAAAATAATTACTAAATCGAGAAATAAATTTTTAAAAATTTAAATTTAAAATAAACTTGAATTCAAGGAATTTAAACTTAATTAAATTTTTAATTTTGTACCATTTAAATTTAACTAAATTTTAATTAAATTATTTGAAATTCAAATTAGTTAAATTTTAAAAACTAGTAGATAAGCAAAGCTTTTGACTTGACTGCTATTATTTCAAGTCAAATTTTAGTATGTTATTTGTTTTCTAAAGTTAAAGCTAGTCATTCTTCTATGAATCGTGCTATTAAATATATTTTTTATGAGTATCCTGGTATTTTGAAGAAGAAAGATGATGGATCTTGTATAAGCTGGAGAAAAATGTTTGACTACTATGAACAAATATTAACCTAAAATACAAGGTTCTTCTCTCATTTAGGTATTTACTACTGTTAAAGTCACGTATTTTCCTCATAGCAATGATGAGTATTAATACAAACAATTTATTAAGTTTAAAAGAATTTAAATGAAATAAACTGTAAATCGGCACCCCTACTGTAAACAGAAAATAAATAAATCGAAACAACAAAGGCAGATAAACGTACAGATTTACCAGTTTTTGAAAAACATATCTCGTCATGTGCAGAGTGACTTAATAATGTATTTAAAATAAGCGATCTTCAGTGTCGTCGATATAGTTTGATTGGGTCAGCTGTTCTCTTTAAGTTTATATTCCAAACTAACATAAAGTTGCAACATTTATTTCTACGATCAAAATAACATCGCTCTATAGTAAGGTAGCGTAATAAAACGTATGGAAAATACTCTACAGAAATATTTATAAAAAAAGCAGCAATTCATCGCAATACTTGAATGCATCACTTTTCATTGCTGATGAAAGAGTCGTGATCGTAATCCATGCAATCTATCAAATTTTATACTAGAAAATACTTTTCTTTAGTATAATACTTTATAGGTTACATTTGGTTCATACTGAAAATATCTTTCGAATCAGCTTCAAGTTCATCAAGCCATTCAATTTCTTGAGTTTCGAGATAAACTAAGATACAGATTTTTCACCTTGACTTAATAATTCATCAAGTCAAACATGAGAAGTAAGATTCACTTCTTGCCGGGAAATAAAATAAAAGGAAATATTATTCAAGATTTTCATTGAATATTATCGATATACGATTTTAAAATTTATTTCTGCAGTGTAATGAAAAACTCTACAAAACAGCATGTTTTCCCTCCTTTAATCGATAGAGCGCATTGAGAGAAAAAGCGATTAATAAGCATATTTCATTTATTTTTCGTCGGTCACGTTTATCTATCACATAAACCCGTCTCTCAATTGTAATGCTTGTAAATACGTATAAATTGCAGTCTTAAATTTGACATAAATCAAGGCCAAATCATAGAGAGGGTTATCATAAATATAAATAGGGATGTAACAATACCAATATAGTATTGGCATATTGGTATCGATAGCAGGCGGATGGAGAAAAGGCATACTTCTACACTTCCGGAAAATATCAAAATTTCGAAAATGTTCTGCAGCAGTTCGATTCCTTGACGCCGAAAACCTTCGGTGAAACTTTATACAGAGTCGCTAGTTTTTCAAAATATCGTATCGCCACCGAAACGTTTTCGAAATTTTGACCGTGATTATTTTCAGTCAGGATAGCGTATTTTGAGAAACTAGCGAATTTGTATAAAGTTTCACCAAAGGTCTTCGGAGTCAAGGGATTGAACGGCTGCTGAACATTTTCGAAATTTTGATATTTTCCGGAACTGCATAAGTATGCCTTTTCTCCACCCGCCTGCTATCGATACCAACATCAATACCAATATCACAATACTGTATTGGTATTGTTACATCCCTATTTATAAGCATCTTCTCTTAAAATCATAAAATATTGTTTCATTTAATTATTATGTTTAGATAAATACCAATTAGATGGCTACTATTTCCATCACTGATAATCATCTCTCTGCCAACAACAACCATAATCATACAAATTCAGTCATTAATGCAAACACTTTTGGTAATACTTCTAATGTGTCTTATGATCAGAGGCAACCTCAAGCAAAGTAGTCTATCTCTTCATCTTCAATTTTCTGTTTTAATTCTAAAACTATATTCGTTAGGAAAAAAACAAAATGGTATCAACATCAAACTTCTATTCGAATATGCTTCGCTTTGTGGTTCACAATCATACTGGCAACCATTGGAATAATCATAATTTGTCTTGCACAACCAGATAGCACACGTAAATGTTTATTTGATGTGCGGGCTTAGAAATACACTGATCGATATCGTTGAATTTGAAATCATATAGTACGGTGATCTATCTGAAATGACCGACCACTGAATTGAGAAATTGATGAAAATTTAAATTCTAATTATGCTTCAATCTAATTTATTTTACGATGTTTAGATTTAATATGTGAAAAGACATTCATATCAATGGCTAGAAAAAACTACACGTATGATTCACGTCCACGATATGTAGCCGTTGCCGATTTCAATAATGACAATCATTTGGATCTTGCAGTTGCCAATAGCATCGATGCGAATATTGTTATTCTTTTGGGTGATGGAAATGGGACTTTTTCTCGGCAGTACACTAGCTGGTTCTATGATGAATCTGGCCCATATTGGATTGGTGTTGGAGATTTCAATAACGATACGCTACTTGATATTGCCGTTGCAAATTATGACAGTCATGATATAGATATACTCCGAGGGTATGGTAATGGAACTTTTTCGATTGAATTCACCTTGGGATTGGGTTCATCTCGCCCTATGCTACTAACAGTTGGTAATTTCAATGAAGACAATATATTGGACATTGCTGTAGCAAGTGATGGAACTCTGGATTTAACCATATTGATTGGTTCAGGAGATGGTTCCTTTGAAATACAAACAAATTATTATCTCGGTCATGATTCGATGCCGTATTCAATTGATGTTGCTGATTTTAACTATGACAATAAAACAGATATTATGATTGTTGATTATGGTACTAGTAACTTAATTATACTTTTCGCTACTGAAAATGGTGAATTTCCGATTGAGAGATATTCAACAGGAGACAATTCTTATCCATGTTCAGTTGCTTTGGGAGACTTTAATAGAGACAATTTCATTGATGCTGCTGTTGTTTATAGGACTACCGACAAAATTGGCATATTTCAAGGATCTGAAAATGGAAAATTTCAAGCTACAGAACAATTTCTTATTGGTTCTAGTTTCAGTCGCAAGTCTATTGGTGCTGGTAATTTAAATATCGGTAGTACGCTTGATTTAATCGTTGTAGATTCAGGAACTAACAGTGTTATTGTATACGAAGGATCTGGCGATGGAACTTTTATTGTTAAAGCAAATCATTCAACTGGCACTAATTCTAATCCATATTCTTTTGCCGTTGGTGCTTTCGATCATGATAGTATATCAGATGTTGTTGTTGCTAATTATGACATTAATTCTATTTTAGTACTCAGATCATATACTATCAGTCTCATTTCGACTGAAAATAGTTGGTCGCCTGATTCAGAATTTCAACCGCTTAGTATGATTGTATATGACATCAATAATGATCAGAATCTCGATGTTATTGCTGCTGACGGGTTGAGCAATAGTGTTGTATTATTTCTTGGCGATGGCAATGGTTCATTTGATATGCGAGAAGCATTTTCTATTAAAAATGATCATAGAGGGCCATATTTGATTGCTGTTGGTAACTTTAACAATGATAACCAAACTGATATTGTCGTGACTTTGTACCTCACATATAAAGTACGCATATATTTTGGACAAAAAAATGGAAGTTTTGTACAAGGATATGAATGTGAAGTTTCACAAGATTGGATGTTGATGGTACTTCTAGCTGGTGATTTCAATGATGATAAAAATCTTGATTTAGTGGTAGGCAATGCTGTTGATGGTCAACTAGCTATTCTGCTTGGGGACAGTAATGGAAGCTTAGGGGAGCCATTATATTACACGAGTGTATATTCTTCTGGTGTATTGGTCGCTATGGGTGATTTCAATAGTGATAATATCACTGACTTTGCTATTGCTAATTCTGATAGTCATGCGTTTGTCATATCTTTAGGCAATGGAGATGGTACTTTTAAGGATCCGACATATTTATCGAATGAAGATTATTACACTAACTGTCTTGTTATTGGAGATTTAAACAAAGACACTATCGTCGATATTGTTATCACTATTCCAGATAATTCGGGAATAGGAATTTCTTTAGGAAAAAAGGATGGAACTTTTGAAAGTATGTATTTCTATGATGATGAACTGGGAAGTTATCCGATGTTTGTTGTTCTAAATTATTTCAACATAGATCGTAACATTGATATTGCAATTTTGAATTCAATTACGCCAAGCATCGATATATTGTACGGTAATGGTGATGGGACGTTTCGTACAAACAGCAAGTTGAATCTCGAGAATGGCTCTGATCCCTTTTTAATGGCCACTGGAGATTTTAACAAGGATGGTGAAATTGATATCGTCACCGCAAATACTGGCAGTAACGACTTAAGTTTACTTCTCTTACAAGACGAACCTGATTTCATAAATGAAAACACTTACCCGCAAAAATCAGGTGCACATCCGTCAGCAGTTACTGTTGGACATTTCAACAATGATCTTCGGATGGATATTGTTGTTGTAAATAGTGGAACTAATGAAGTAAGAATACTAATGAACTATAATAGTAGTACTTTTATGAAGACAGCTACTTATTCAACGGGTGAGAACTCGCACCCACAACAAGCAGTTGTTGCTGATTTTAATAAAGATAATCAACTAGATATCGCTGTCGTAAATTCGTGGAGTGATACTCTAAAAGTATTTCTTATTTCCAATAATGGTACAACTGCCAACTCTACAGAGTATTCCACTGGATCAAAATCTTCTCCTAACTCACTTGCCGTTGGCGATTTTAACAAGGATGGTTGGACAGATATTGTTGTTGCTAACAAGAAGTCAAGTAACATTGGTGTATTTCTTGGATACAATTATCCAACATTCAACAGTCAAATCATACGTATAGAACAGCATAATTCCTATCCAACATACGTTGTTGTTGGTGACTTTAATGGAGATTCTCAGTGGGATATTGCAGTTACGTGTTTCAAAAAGAACAATGTGTCGGTGTTTTTAGGACTAGGAAAAGGCACATTTGAAAATGAAACATCAAATCCACTACCAACATCATCTTATCCTACGGCAATGGTTGTTGGCGATTTCAATAATGATAATCAATCGGATATTGTTGTTGTTAATTCACGAGGTAAAACTATAAGTGTACTACTTGGATATGGTAATGGAACATTCGCTACAGACATTTCAAAGTCTACTGGTAGCTCATCACCAGTTTTCATTGCGATGGGCGATTTTAACAAAGATAATAAACTAGATATTGCTGTCGCATTCCAAACCGATGACAATGTTGGTGTATTTACGGGGTACGGTAATGGATCATTTTCCGAACAGATGACATATAAAATGCCTAATGTTTCTTCGCCAGTATGGGTTACAACTGGTGACTTCAACAAAGACAATGTTCAAGATATGGCTGTTGCCAATTTCAATGGAAATCATGTGGGTATACTTCTAGGATATGGTAATGGTACTTTTGGAGACATAATAATATATTCAACTGGAACTAATTCAGGTCCTTGTGCCATTGCCGTAGGAGATTTTAACAAAGATAATAACATTGATATTGCCGTAGCGAATCTCTACCGTAAAACTATCGGTATAATGTTTGGCTATGGTAATGGAAGCTTCTTGCTACAGGTAACATACTAAGTAGGATCAGGAGCCCTTTTAAAGTCAATTGTCGTCGGCGATATGAACAATGACACAATTCTTGATATTGCTGCATCGAATTACGGAGATGCAAAAAGTGATATTGGTATATTATATGGATTAGGAAATGGTGCATTTTTAGCACCAAAACTCTATTCCACTGGGTCTAATGTAATTGTTACATCAATTGCGATTGCTGATTTTGATAACGATGGCCGCAACGACGTTGTCGCAACTAATGCTAATAAAAACACGATATGCATTTTACTGCGTGACAAAACCGAACCATTTGGAGAACAAGTAACATTTTCCTCGGGCAACAATTCTAATCCTTATGCTGTTGTTGTTAGTGATTTTAACAATGATAATAAACTTGATATTGCCGTCGCAAACTCTCAGGCAAATAATATTGGTATTTTTCTCGGATATGGAAATGGAAGTTTTGCAAATCAATACAAATATGATACTGGTGCAAGTTCAATCCCCATAGCCATCGCTACTGGCGATTTCAATAACGATAAACAAGTTGATATTGTTGTCGCCAATTCTAATAAAAATACTATATGCATCTTTCTTGGATATGGAAATGGAAACTTTACACTTTTGAAATGTTATTCAACCGGACTTGGCTCTGAACCATCGTTTATTGTTGTTGGAGATTTGAATAAGAATAATCAAACAGATCTTGTCGTTACTAATAAAGGTATCAATAATTTACTTGTACTCTATGGTGTTGGTAATGGGACGTTTGCAACTCCAATATTGTATTCTCTTGGCTATGACTCTAGTCATGTATCAGCAGCTATTGGAGATTTCAACGATGATAGTTGGTTGGATATTGTTGTTACAAACGATGACTGGAATTATATCGAAGTTCTATTGCAGACTTGCTAGTTTGGTGTCCCTAAGCTTTAACTATATTTGTTTTAAAATTCACAGTATCGTTGTATTTTCTGCAATCATACAATAGACTTATGCATATATGGGCGTGCTCCACCATAGGGTACCCCGATTAACTTTCTGTCTATTACCAGTAAAAACACCTAACCATACTCGAGCCAAATTATCAATCTCATCGCTAAACTACTAAATTTAAAATATTAACTGGCCATCTCTATCTCATATGAAATTATTGAATCCCTGAAATCGTGTTCTATCTTTTTTTCATTTACTGAATAATTTCACATAAGAAAGCGAAAAGCAGCTAATATTTTAAATTTAGTAGTTTAGCGATGAGATTGATAATTTGGCTCGAGTATGGTTAGGTGATTTTACTGGTAATAGGCAGAAAGTTAATCGGGGTGCCCTATGGTGGAGCACGCCCCTTTATGTGAACATGTGTATGAAAATTTTACGAGTTATAGTAGAAAATTGAATTCATTTGTTTTTCAATTAAAATCTTTTCAATAAATGTTTAATATAATAGAGTAACTATTAACATAAATATGGAAGGCGGTAAAAAAAGAGAAAGAAAGATGAGCTTTCATCTTTTTTTCCGGTAATGATGAGAAAAAAGGAGTTCCTAATAGAATTCTGTTCCATTTGAGTATAGAATTCGGATGATTATTCATATTTACTTAATAGAAAATATTTTCTAACAAGATTTAACTATTTTTGTTTTATAAATTTGCTGCAATCTTTTTATGAATCGAGGTGTATGATTGGCATAAAGTACAGTTAGTTCACATGATAATATATATTACTATAAGTTTATTTGTATTTTGAATGGGGTGTCTATGTAATAGGGAAAGTTGAAAAAATAAAATTGTACGTGCTCTTCATACTTAATTACTATTTAAATCAAGAGGGAAACGCTCATTCGGGCATTCCCAGCCATTCCCAGCCAATCGCAGCCAATCGCAGGCATTCCCAATCATTCCCAATCATTCCCAGTCATTCCCAGTTATTACAAAGCACTCTCTGGTATAGAGATGGATCATTCTACTTATTGAAACTTCATTATTAGCATTACTTAAATGAACTTATCTACCATTAGGGATGACACTTTAACTTTACTTTAAAAAATAAAGTTAAGGTAATGCTTTAAACTTTAACTGTTAAAATTAAAGCAAAAAACTTTAAACTTTAGTTGAAGAAAACACTTTGACTTTTAAAAAATCAGAGTTGAATTGAAATTTCTTTTAAACTCTTCATGATCAATTTTCTGTTGGATTTTACTACAACTTTAAACTTCAAAAATTAAAGTAAAAGTATTTCAACTCTAATATAAAAGTATTAAAGTTTTTGTGGTACCACTTTAACTTTAACATTTAAAGCTTAAAGTATATCATTTTAACTTTAACGTTTAAGGTACCGCTTTAAACTTTAATACTTTTTCAAAGCACTTTAAAGTTATTTAGGCATGACCAAAAGTAGCGAAATTGACACTTTAAGATCACATAATAATATCCAGAATCTTTCTTTCTATACAGTCTGATAGAGACAAAAATTCTCTATTTTTCTATGCTATTTGATCATACTTCAACCAATATCATAATAATGAAATTTCTAAAATAATTATTCCTTTTTATGCCTGACGGTTATAACAAGGCTCATTCAATGAATATTTTTTGAATAGCGTTCCGTAGGAATAAGATACAAAGATGCGGTTTTCACGGTTAGAAAGAGAAAAAGAAAATACGCCAAAGCGTTTATTGTAGGTTTGTTGAAATGACTTTTTAAAAGTTTTCAATCAATCGCTCTGAAAACAATACTACTCGCGAGGTATTTACAATATTTTCCCATTTTTCAGGTGAATATTGAAACCATCGATATAAGCTCTAAACAACTACAGTAAATTTGGATATTTTGAAATGGCATTCTGAAATTATAGACGTTCTTGTTGAAGCGCCAAGTGATTTCACTAGCAATCCCCTGTGAAAAAATAAAGCAGGACTGTTTTCAATACTGAAAAAATCGATTCAAGTTGTTTCAGATAATGTTCGAGAAAAAATATATATGCAGTTCGATGCATCTTCATCTCCGCTTTCCAACAGTGAAAAACGCAGCTCCCTATCATGTTTCCATGAAGAGTTATTGACAACACACATCGTAACCGTGACATACTTTTAAAAAACACATTTCTTCGATATTTTGTTATTATGATATTAGTTGGATTATGATCGAATCGTATAGAAAAATAGAGAACTTTTTTCTCTATCAGATTGTGTAGAAAGAAAGATTCTGGATGTTATTATGTGATCTTAAAGTGTCAATTTCACTACTTTTGGTCAGACCTAAGTAAAGTGCCACCCTTATCTACCATTAAGTATTAGGTATTTTATTTTTCTTCTAAATGCTTAACACTTAATATTATTGGTGAGTTTATGACATTACACTTAATTTTAAGTTAATGTAAGTGGTCCATTTTTGCTCGATTGTCACTGTTATAAATTACGGTATCTGTTTTTAGAAGCTTGCTGATTTCCAAACGTTAAAATTTTTCTTCAAATTTGATTTCCATAATGTTAAATTTAGCTACTGCATATTCGCAAGTAGCGATATCAATCAGCAAAAATCAACAGGTTTTCATTGATTGGAAAACAGGCTATATTCATATTTAAAGCACACGAAACATCAATTTGACTGAGAAAATTCATTTAGAAATCTATAGTAGTTGTATTATAAAGGGGCAGCAGGAGATTAATCCACAGATTTCGAAAATTATTGTGTTTTTTTTAGCAAAGTCATCTTATTGTTTTGTTGACCAACTTCTAAAAGAATTGCAAATGCTTCTGAAGTTACGCTAATTTTAGTAAGAATCCTCAAATCAATGCGTTATGCCAATGAACTTCTTCGCATATAATCTAGTTAGCCTGGGATACCCAGGATTCCGTATTATTTTACATTATATTCATTAGTTCAGAATTCATAATTGATTTTCTAAAATGTTGAACTGACCTTCAAGGATAAAAAAATTACGCACATGAAATTTGGGTGTCGATAATAGTGGGTAGAATGTCGTTAATATCTGATTAACTATCGTGTACGGGAGAAGAATGGTCTTGCCTTTTGTCATAGGAAAACATTACAACGATGAAAAATAAAAGATATTGAATGTTAACAACTATTGTCGCAAATATTCAATTAAATCACATTATCCAATTTTTCTTAAAATAGTTATCGGAATCAGAGTAAGAAATTTTATATCTCTGTAAGAAACATATGTTGAATTTATCTTTAAAAATGAGTTACAATTACACATATTTATTGCAGAAATGCTACAATAGAACAGCATCTCTACTTGGCACTGAAAACGATCTAAGGTTTAAGATGAGTCTTTTAAACACAAGAAGGATGAAAATTATTTTTTTCATGCACATCGCCCTCTTATTAGTGTATATTTTTGATGAAGAAAATATCTGATCTTGTTTTTTCCTTGCAAGCGATGATTGCGAACTATTCATATTGACGAGTGGCACGTATAAAAGACAAAACGAATTATAATTTTTATCAAAATGATTCATTTTTATTTTCTTTTTGTCACATTTGAAATAAAAAAATTTAATTTCTGTTCTTAGAGAATCAAAAATGAATTGAATAAAAGACAATGGACGTTTCTTTTATATTAAAATAAGATTTTCAACTAGAGTCCTGTGGGACAGTACCGAATCCAAAAAAATCCCGTTTGTCCTAATGGACGGGACAAATGGGATCAGAACAATGTTAAAATAAACGAAAATCCTGAATTTTTTCACCGTTATCTTAATTTCAATTGTGTAACTGATAAATGATTGTTTATTACCAATGTCTGGTAATGATTAGGCGTCGCACATTAGCTTTACTTTAAAATTTGAATCAAAAAACTTTAAACTCTAATTAAAGTAAAACACTTTAACTTTAAAAAATCATAGTTACAGTGAAAAATAATTTTTAGCTCTTCACGATCAATTTTCTATTGGTTTTAACTACAAATTTCAACTGTAAAATTAAAGTTAATGTGTCTCAACTCCCCAAGTCGAACAATCCGGACAGGAAACGCCAGGTTCCGGCATCTTCCTGCGATTTCACGGAAGCAGTATTCCGGAATGGATTTTTCCAACCTCTTTCCGTGCATATCCTCACGGAAACGCCCGCAAAAATCCAGGAAAAATCCTGTCCCTTCCATCTGGGATCCAAATACCCAGCCCAAGAGCGGATCTCATCCGGATTTTTTACGTCGATTTCCGTACGAGTCCGTACCGACGCTTCCAACATACTTCTCGTCATTTCCTACATGCCGAAGTAGTCTATCGTAACAGTTTTAAATAAAAGTTTTCAAGAAAATTCGAGATCGACAAGACGCGTTTCGTCCTTTCTCAAGGGACTCATCAGGTATCTTCAAATTTCTATTATTATATAAAGAAGAAACTCATTCAAATAAATTTCGAAGAAGTTAAATCATAAACATAATAAAAGAAAAAACAAATTTCAATATATTGGAACAAACCTTAATATTATATTAACAAATAATTATCTAATCTCGATGACTTCGTAAAATGAAAGAATTCAAATTAATTATGAATTGATTTTAAAGGTTACGTTACATTCATTTATATACTATATTAATCTTCGATGAATTGATCCATTTTACTCAATGAATTATTCTGCTAATTTTTGAGAGTAAAAGTATATATTTTCATTTGATCTAGAAAATATATCGAACATTTGTTCTGTCATCAATAACCATTGTGTTGATTAATATATTTTAGTTTAATCGTATATCTTCTAAAATAAGACCAATAAAATATAGCTCTAGTATCAGTTT